ACCAAATCAAAGCATTTTTCTCTTCTATGAGAGTTTTAATGAAAGTCAGTTATAGTTTTGATCCTATAGATGTTAAAAAACTGGTTTCAGTCTCCTTTCAAGAAAAAATTTCCACTGAAATTCAAATGGCTGAGAGCATTTGCAGAGCCCATATCCAATGGCCTGCGTCAAACTCTTGCAGCTGTAAGGAAAGGGAGCAGATTCCCAGACATTGTCCATACTCAGATCCACTCAAACACCCTCATGGGACCAGCCGGCCTGGAGTGGCACTGGAGAGGACCATCATGTACAAATTTCTGATTCTTAAAGTTTCTTCCTTTGAATTCTTCCATGTTTTTGAATGGCTTTGAATGGCTGGATCATCACAACTCTTTCCTGTACACGGCTGGGTCTGGCATGCAGTCACTCTCATTGCCTCCATGCACACGAGCACTGAGCTCTTTTCCACCTCATTCCACCAGACCCAAGACCATCCCTTCTCTCAGCCTGCAGAGAACTAAGTGGAGAAGGAGTGACTGTTTAAGCCCTAAAAGCAGATAATTTACTGATGATTCACACCCCAGAGCAGGCTTGCTGTCTGAGGAGGGGCAGCAGTAGTTGGTGGAAACTGTGGAGATGCACTAAGGCAGGTCTGCCTCTTTCTGAGACACTTTGCCGTGAACTGACTTTCACCTGTTATGAAGCCATAGCTGTTGTTTCCTGCCTCTCCCAGTAGATTCCTTTCTTCTCTCTGAAGTGGTGCACAGTACCCTTCCTCACACCTCTTGCACAGGGCTTTTTGGTGCTCCTGCAATGAGCTAGGAGTCATCCATGATGTGCAGCTGCTGTGGAAGGGATAGATCAATGAACAGATTTCCAGATCCTCTACCTCTCAAGCAGAGGTAATGTGGGGAACAGTTGCACACGGGTCATGCCTGCAACCACCTGGGAATTCTACCAAATCTTTACTTCCACATTCCCCTATCTAAACTCTACAGTAATTTCTCCTGGCTTCAGTGTCATTATTTTCAGCATATGCTGTGTTCCAGTGACATCTAGGGATAGAGACTGAAAACTGCAAGCTGGATGCTTACATAGGCATCGTTTAAAACATATTTCTAACTGATAAGACAAAAGGCTTAAGGAAAAATTGTAATTAAGATCAGGTGAAAAGAATCTTGCATGTTTTGCAGGACTGACTTGATGCCTCTAGGCCATTCCTCAACTCATGTGCATTAGCATTCATTTCATAAAGTGCCTACAGAGACATGGCATTAAATGACATTTTGCTCTGGTATGAAGAATGCAAGCAAGATAAATGTACATCAGTACTAATGAAAAAACACATAAAAGGGCAAATGTCATCAGGAGGAAAAAACCACTTTGAGGTCAAAAGATCAAACAAGTTTCTTTAGTAGTTGGATCCATTATTTACTCATTTCTACCACTACTAAATTACTCATTACATTTATGTATCAGTCCCCTGCTCACAGAGGGTCACTGTGCTTGGTGATTCAGTCCTCCACAGGACTAAGATATGGGCCCTGCTCTGGAGATCTTACCTGCAGGACAAGGCAGGACCAAAGGATGGAAGCAGTAGAGCAGAGGGAACAGTGGCTCAATCTACACTGCTTTGCAGCCTAGCTGCATGTTAGACTTCAGTTCACAGTGTTCAACAGCTTATCCCTGCAGGATCAAAGCAGAAGCAGCAGCAAATCTTCCCACTGTGCCTTCATTTCTTTAGAGAGCACAGGCAGGCTTCCTCCAGAACTTAACCAGGGACTGGCAAGCAGGATTAGACAGAAACCCACCATGTGCCTGCGTAATACATCACATGAAAGATGTAGAAAAGTGTAAGCCTACTCTTTCAAAACAGACTTTGTGTGACTGTACAATCTACACCTTCCCCAGTAAATCTAGACTTCCTAAGTATTCACAGCCCAACCACAGAAAGAATTCTGTGCTAATTCATGCCTGGACCTTTGTAGGGCCTAAAAAAAATACATCTCTTTGATTGCAGAAGGAAATGTAGAACATATTATTTGAAGAAGGCATCAAGAGAAGTGTTTATACATGTATCAGAGGCCTGCATGTCCAAAACTAAATTTATATATTTAAATATGCTCACATGGACAAAAACTTGTGGAGATAATGGGGAGAGGCAAGCTGCTGATTTTCTAAGAACTTTTGGTCTGAGCAAATGAAGCCGTGCCATCTGTGGTCCAAATTCAAGTGAACAGAAAAAAATCAGCTCAAAAGTAGAGGTCAAGTAAAATTTTGAAAAATAAAAGTCAGTGGATGTTTTGCCAGCATCAGCACTGCAGGACACGGTCCTGAGAATATGGTCTATCGAATGCCATTAAATCCAGGGAAATTTCTCTTGGTTAGTATATGTGAAGTATCTGGAAAAAAAAATCCATCACTTTGCTCCCAGCAGCCACTTGGTCAGATCCCTAAACCACCAGAGCAATCACCAACCCTCTTGTTTCTGGTTTTGCCACTGCTGTTGTTTCTATCCGACAGCAGTGCTGCTCAGCAGCCAGAGCTGGTGGCCTGTCCTGGGGCAGTCACAGGCAACTGCCAATCTCCTGGTGCCCATCAGAGCAGCACCAGTTGCAGCAGGCTCTCCAAAAGATTCAATGTGGGGACCTGGAAGAAAGCACTGCTTCAGGGCTGATTTGGGGAACTGAAATAAATGCAGCAGGAACTCATCTGGGCGGGAAATGTCTCTAGGTGAATATGAGACAGGGATCAATTTTAAAAGCCTCATTACAAAAATATAACAACTAACTCACACACTTGGAAGATCCCAACATTGTCTTTTTATGCTCAGTTGTTAAGGCTAAGCTTTCCTTTAAAGCACTCCTGAGGCCTTCCTCCTGAAAACATACCACAATGTGAATATTAGTAGCCTAAAATCAAATTGCAATAGTTAAGAAGATACTAGAAACTAATAGGAAACTAAAGATCACCTCCTGTGATTTAGGTGAATGTTGGCCTTGATGATTTGTAGTTTTATTCCTGCAATCTCCATAGCCAAAAAATGGCAATTTTCCTTCCCAGAGGGTACTGCCCTGAAGTCAGAATGCTTCTTTTATCACACAAACAAAAAGTAATTAAATGACTGGAGGGACATAAACAGTAGTGTCCATTTCTGTGTGGGCAGGCCACATCCCATGTGTGTGTACCAAAGTACCAGAGTGCTCTGGTACTTTGAATTTACCACCAGAGACCCAGCTGTGAATCAGTCTGAACAACCAGGAAAAGTAGCCAAGACTTGGAAATAGCACAGGTCCTTTTGCACAGTGTAAACACAAGGCAGCAGATGCTGCCACGTTCAGGCTTGGCTTCAGGTGGCAGCAGCTTGAAGGGCTCTGTGTTGCTCTGCTTGGAAGCAGGATGCAAACACCTCCGTCCCACAACCTCTCCAGAACAAATTTTTATCTTCCATAGAGTTACCAATGGATGATCTAGTTTTAGGGTGATTTAAACCAGTACCGGAACTGACTTCTACTACCAGGACAAATGAAACAATTTGACAAGAGAGGTCTCTCCCCTCAGTGTCCCTATAAACAGCTTATCACAAATGGCAGAGATGGGTGAAGATTCCAGGTACAGCTACTTTCAAACAGAACAAAGTTCACAGTATTTTTAATGAAGTAAGACCACTGCTGGACAATCAGAAAGTTTCTCCATATCACTGCAACAACCTTACTGAAAGGAAAGGCACTTAAGCACAGAAAATACTCTCTGCTCAATATTGCATGTAAGGAAGTCATATGGAATACTCACTCACATAATTTAACTAACGTGTGGATTAATTTATGGGTTACTATTTACTAAAAGAACCTGGACAGTGTTTTTGTTCTGTACCTTGAAATTCATCTCCAGCTGTGCACTCAGTGGCAGGTGTAGGTCACAGACACTGTCAGATGGTGACCTGTACCAGTCTGCAGGGCCATCTTTCCCCACTGTTACTGAGTACAGTTGTGCTCACACCGGTGTCTGTTCAGGCTGTTCACTGGGTGCAGCCAGGAGCCATCCCATCACAGAAATTTCCCTGGTAGACAGTAGCTAAAGGCTGCTTCCTCTGTGATGGAGGCTGCTCTTCAATAGATCTTCCCAGCAAGATCCTTGGGAATAGACCATTTTGACCCTTCTTACCCCAGAATTACTGTCCAATTATACATCAATGCATTTCTGTAATTTGCTGGGTCTACCTAAAAGGGTAACCCTTCATTTGTGGGAGAACCATTTAAACAGCCATGGTACCACCCCTTCCCTGGGGTCAGCTGTCCTGCGACACCCAAAGCTTGTCTGAGTGTACAGCAGGAGCAGAGCTGTGCCCCTGTCTGATGGTGAGAGGGACCACAAACACCACTGAGAGCTCTCAGTGAGGAGCAGGACCATTCCACTTGGAACCACATCTGCTGAATTCAGCTACTTGGAGAGCTGAGCTTGGATCATGTGTTGTGTGGGTTTTCTGATTTTGGGGGGGTGGGGGGGGTGATTTTTTTTTCTTTTTTTGCATAATCACAGCAAAAATGGGCTGTAAATAAAAATAAAGGGAATAATAAAAATAACCCCATTTATTGTATACACAAGTCCTTTTAATCAGGCCCCAAATTCATTTCAGAAATGTGCTGTCAAATTTCACAGATGCAAGATATTCTAAAAGAGCTGAAACCAAATTTGAGCACATTTCTGGCTCTGTTCTAAAATACTGTGCATTTTGCTTATTCAAGAAATTAGACCAACCAGGGATCCTCTTCTACCCAAAGTTTTAGACCTCAAGCCAATCATTTTGTTTTAGAGCCATAATATTACAGGACAAGTCACAGTATTTTCAAGTCACAGATTATGTTAGAAATTTAAGGGAGGAAATGTAACATTTCTGTATGAAATCAAAGCTGATTTTACAAGAGGATCACACACATCTCTATTAAATTATATTTATCTTCACCAAAAAAATATAATCCTCCTTAAAAACAACATAAAATTCCATTTGTTTTAGAAAAGCATACATCAAATAACACTGGAACACTTTATTTTAAAAGACTTTGTTGTCTCAGCTCTGTAGCAATACTGCAATACAGGTTAAGACTTTTTCATTAAGAGATCAATAACAGGCACATAGCAAACATAAAAAAAGGCAAGCAAAGTACAAATCCTCTTTTGAGATTATTTTTGTATTTTTAATCTAAATGGGAAACAGTAGGCATGAAACATCTATACAGCAAACATAAAACAACTATGCCATTTTTCTCTTAATGATCTCAAGAGCTTTTGATCTGGCAACTGCAAAACAACCTTCATGTTGCCATGCTCAGGGGACAGATTCCTGACTGAGTATGGATGCAGAAAGTCATAGTGCTTAAATACACACAACGCTCTAAGCCCACTTCCATCTCCCCAGTGGCAGCAGCACATTAGTTAGAGGAATGCTCAGTGACACTGATCAACACTGAACAGATACAAGGGACAGTAACTCTTACTGTGTCTCAGAGTCAGCTGTAGAAAACACCTCCCCCTCCTTAAACAGGCTAAATTTTGATTTTGTATACATTTTCACATAGTGTGAGGAACTACTGAACACTTAAAGATGTAACACATGGATCCTGTACACTAGAGCCTTGCAGAAGGATTAAGGAATTAATTGCTGACTGGAACTCTGTCAGTACAGGTACATCTGTCCTATACTGCAAAATTAGAGTGGTACAGCCTGTAAGAGTGCAGCACATCAGATAAAATTTAAAAAACCTACAAACAGGGTATGGCATTACAGCAGGGATATCTGATTACTGCCTGGCTGTAAATAACACATGCATCTTCAGGGCAACTACAAACCAAGTATAAGCAGGATGGCAGTGTAGGAAAAAATGAGTTCTGCCTAATTGTTATTTCAAATATTTGAAACTTAAGCTTCAATGACTTTGCATTTTAGAGTTTTATAATGGCTTTAGATGTATTTAGAGCCTTAAAAGTCAGATTCCAAGGACATTTAATTAGGATTTTTAAAGATACAGAGAGAAACAACAATGTTACAGAGCTCTTGCAGTCCAGGAATCTAAGTTAATGAAAACAAACTTCAGATATAAACATATTTCCTAAGACAGCTTTTTTTACTAGCTCCCTCCTCCTCCTCCAAAGAAGCTCTCCAAAACAAAACATTACTCATTTAGGCTGTGCAGAAATGGAGTTCAGGAATAAAGGTTCAAGCAAAGCCACTGAAGCAATGAATAGCATGCACACACAGCCCAGGCCTTCCTCTTTTCAGAGGTTACTCCACTCAAGAATTATCTGCCCATAGTTGTGCTCCTCATGCTCATCTCTGAGACACAGCCAGATTTAGTACACCATAGGTGACAGTCAAGGGCCTGACAGCTCACACAGGGAGAGGAAGTAGGCATTTTACAAACTTAAATTACTAAATCTCATATTCTACAAACAAGAACTGCCAGTGGCATTTGGGCTCATAGCTGCATTATGTAGATGCAGACTCAGAACAGACAAATTAGTGAATTTATTTATGCAACACCTCACTCCAAGGTATCGGCTCAGAGTCAGCTAGAACAGCCTAATGAAACTATGCACAAGGCTGTGAATTCAAAACAAGTTTCTACATCCAGTAACACCTTGAGATGAAGCCTAAGTATCACTAAGAAGGCAATCTTGGTTGGTAGGTCTGAAGAACGCACACTTCACAACATTCCAACAAAAAGCCTTCATTTTTTGCAGGCTGAGCTTGGCCAGCCTCAAGTCCTACTAGTGGACTTCAAAAGAGTTTTCTATCATAAGCTCATTTTTACTGCCTTGGCAATTGTGGGCCACATGCTTCAACATTTTTAAACCTATTTTCAAATAGATGAAAAGATTGAAACGTGCCTTCATTCTGAAAACAGATTTCTGTGGCAGCATTTTAACAAGTCCTTTTCCAAAGCCTTCATTTTCAGCATTTTTAAAACACAGAAATGTATTCCAAATAAGTTTAGCTTTGACAAAGAAGTTTCAGAGTAAGATGACAAAACATTATATTGTCGAAGCTTTTCAACTAGAACATACAAAGAGGTTTGGGCTTGTACCAAGGCTAATTACAGTCTTAGAAACACTGTTTCAGTTTAAAACACCCATGGACAAAAATTTCTGCTTTCCTTCTAGAAAGATCAACTGGTTTGTTGCCACAACAAATCTCACCTCTTTAAAACTTCAAATGTGTTACGTCTTATTCCATCTCCTTATAATTTTGCCCTTCAAAGGTCAAAACATGAGCATCTCCACCCAACCCACCTATCAACTGCAAGGTTCCTTCCATAGAAAGGATTTTTAAATGAGGAGGAAGAAAATCAAAGATTTTTCTTATTTGTTTCAAGCAGAATGACTGTGGAGAAATGACTCAAGCTTAGGTAGTAAAAGTTAATGGAATGCCATCTGAAATGGAGACTGACTCAGTAACACGAGACCTGCGAGTCATTTGTTAATCTTCAGTTCTGAGCCCACTAGAAGTACTTGTATAATACCAGTGAAACAGAAGATACTGCTTGTTTTTCCTCTTGAGCAGGAGAACAAGCTTTAAATGAGAACATCAGTTTTTCTGGCATGTAATAAAATGAAAACCACTAATTGCTGTGTACCCCCAAAAGATTGATTACTTTAGCAGTTAAGAATCAATACTAGGTAAACTTGCACTAGAATGACTTTATTCTGCTCATCTACAAGACTTGCATAAGATTTATTTTTGGATTTCCATTTGGTATGTGGGTATTTTATGCTTTGCATGAGGCATTTCCTCCTCCTGAATGTATTGCACCTTAACAGTATACCATCTTCTGGAGCATCCTTTCTGTGGAACAGTTAAGATCTGTAACATCAGGCAGTATTTGTGGAGATTGAGAGACTAGATTTTTACAAGTGCAATTGTCTAGACCAGACGGAGAAAGAAATCATCACATAATGCTCCCCTAATTGTTGCTAGTGCCTTAAGGATTCATTTCTGAACTCAAAAATCTAAAAAAAGAAAAAAAAAAGTTCAAATGAGTTAAAATTGAAACATTTCTATTTAGAAAGGCAAATATGAATAGGAAATAAAGTACAGGTACATGTGATATTAAATAATACAGTTTTCCCTAATTCTTTACTACTTAGGTAGTAAACAATTATTTTATCAATTTAATATTTTTTTCTGGCTAAGTTATTAGTAAGACTTAGCAGTAGAGATATGTCTCTTTCTTTCTTTCCAAAAAATGCATGATATCACATCAAGTTTTTTAAGCATTTCCCACTATTGTTATGGTTTTGGAGCTCAGTGTGTTCTGAATTGTTTCAGAAAAAATTTCCATGTCTACCTCAAAAGGAAGACAACATCTGCTTGTTTCACCAAATGAATTCATGTCATTCTTCACAAGACATATCCTACAAGCAGAATAGCAAATGACTACAGCTAACTAAAACTAGCTTACAAGCATGGTGAAACAAACCTGTTTAACCTCCAGTAAAGCTGAAAGAATTGCCTTCTAGAAAAGTAAACCAAATCAGCTTTCTGTAGTAATACTCAAACACGAATACAAAACTCAATTGTCAACCACCAATCCTAGGAAAACTTTTCAAAGCAGGGAGAAGGTTAGTGCTGACCCTGTTCCCTTCCCTGCTCCTGCAGCTAACACTACCAACTCAGTCAAGCACTCTGCTTGCCAACTTTCAATGCAAACTCATGGCAGAAGCCAACACAATGTCTTTTTCCCCTACTCAGCGACAGAGGAGACAAAATTTCCCATCCACTTCCTTCAAATGTTTTGGGACTTCTGCCCAAATGTTTGCCTTGAGGAGCTCAGCTTGCCTTACCCCTACTTTGCTTCATACTAATACCTCATAGTCACTGCAATACATTTTAGAGAGGATCCAGTTACTTAGACAGCAAACAATTGATGTTTTATTATGCTGCTACTAAGGTACACCTACACTACAGGCTTTAAAGCTCTAGTCTTACAGCTACAGGGTAAGATCACATCAAGCTCATCTACTGATTAATCAGCTAGTACTTAATCATGTAGATTTTCCAATTTCTCCAAACAGCAGTGAGCTACACTTGCCACAAAGCAGTTCAGCCATTCTTCAGCAAGGCTGCAGTGCTAGTTCAAAACTTAGGCTAAAGCATTTCAAATATCCCAGAAATTATATTAATAAACTTTTATTTTTAAGCAACAACACACACTATTTGAATAAAACTCACACATTTAACTCAGGTGGAGAGTACTAAACGGAACAATCATCACTAATACATTTCCATTGGAAATGTGTTAAAGTTCACAAGGGTCTTCATTACCATCTTACTGAAGTTTTCTTATGTGTTTCTAGTCTACACACCACCTGTTTCATGAAGTCATGCAAATCAAATTGTAAATGTTCAGGTAATGGGGAAGTCCATTCACTGCAAAGATTCATTTTTCACAGAAGAGCCAGGATAGGTAAGACCAATACTGCAGGGTTCTTCATAAGAGTACAGGTATATTAGAAACCATGAACTTTCAGTTGTTCTTCCTTGACAATGCCAATCTAAAGGAGAGAAACAATGTATTTTAGTAAAGATTACATACTGAGGCAATTACAATGATATCAAGTTATCAGAACCTTACACTTTGATTAAACAAACTGCTATACAGTGTATACACTCAATGAAATATATTTGTAGTTTACAGAATGTTTCTAGGCCAAGCAGAACAACTGACTAAACAAAATCTTATCAGACATCTAATTTGTTCTGTAGTCCTAGGACTTATCCTTTGATGGTGTAACAACTCTGCATTATCATTTGCATCAGAGTAGTTGCCTCTTTCCTCTACAGTGTTTTCAGTCTCACTGTTATGGTTTGCATGGAACACTTGATTTTACAAGCACAGAGCTCAAGTTGCACTGCCAGAGAACAAGTGGTGTGTTGTAACGGTGCAAAGGCACTCTACAGTGCTTTGATTCCTACCAGAGCTTACTCTCACACTGCAAGTGTCATTTTACTTTCTGGCTGAAAACACAAAAGAACTACAGTGGCCATCTTTGGCTGGGTAATTAGCATCAGTACCACCTCTCTCCCTCCTGCTTCCAGAGAGGTTTAGATATTTATCTGCAGTCCCTTACCTCCAAGAGGAATTGGCAAATGTTCTTCCTCTGGTCACCTTGCAGTTGGATAACTTCACCGTATTCAGGATGCTCAATCACAGTACCATTACAAGCAAATTTCTAAGAGAAAAACATCCATATTATAAGACATCTGATGTACATTGTGATTGTGCTTAGTCAGTCTTTTCAGAAGAACTTTGTCTCAGAAGCTGCTTACTATTTTGATGCCAAACCAGGCAAAGGTTAAATCAATTTCACTGGCTCTGAGAGCAAATGGAATAGATCTGCTGACACATACATATGCAAACTAAACTGCTGATGGTAAATTCAGGCAATGACAGGATTAGCTACTGTGCAGAAGGAAATGGCCAACAGTCATTGCAAGAGTGAAAAACAAAGTCATAAGATACAGCCTTTCAACTCCCCACTATTTTAAAATAAGTATTTTTATCCTGGCAAAACTAAAGGCCTCTATTTTGAGCAACAGCCCAGCTGTAACAGAGGCAGGAATAAAAATCAGCTCTACTTTAAACTGATTTTATTCTTCATATCAACAAAGCCATAGATCTGTGAAATTTAAAAGAAACATTCAAAATAATTTTTTTAACTTCTTGTTAAGATAGAAAAGTTTAACCTTTTAGCAAAATCAGTGTCACTGGACTCTGATAGGTGTTTTGAGAAAGGGAAGGGACTTGAATATAAAAGTGGCATGCACTGGAAAGAATGAAGTGAAATAAATATTTTGTTACTTAGTATTAAAAGCTATCTTACGCCTTTACATATAAGCATTATCAAATCAAAACAGCAACTTTACCTTTTTGAAAGCTTTCACAAGTTTCTTCTTGTCATAATCATCTGCAATGCCCTGAACAGTTGTCAGTGTCTTTCTTCCGTTCCGTTGCTGGATCCTTATATGAATGTAATCCTCAGTCCCCGCCGGGAGTAAGTCGTCGCCCTTTGTTGCATCAGCAAAGGGGTCTGCGGGAGGAAAGAGACTCATGAAATTCCCACAAAGGAAAACACCCAAGTTCAAAACTAAGGAGGAAGATTCTCACTTGACAGAATATTATTATTGTACCCAGGGTATCATCTTGATGTTTAATCCCTGTTTAAAACCACACTGTTACAACCAAAGTGCTTTTTCTGCAGCTGTATAAAATGTCATTACAGTACACACTCAGGACAGCCCTCTCAACTACCACACAGTTTCTTCCACGCCTTCCCAGGTATGAACGATTTTCTGCCACAGTATCAGTTTGCTTCACTGTTTCTTGCAAACTGTAAATCTTGAACCTGAAAACATGGTTCTGAGAGAACATCAAATGCACATTTAGACAGCCACATACATTTAAAGTGAAATAAAGCAACTGTATCTCTTATCAGACCAACTAATAAGAACAGAGAAATAGAAAAGCTCTAGAACAGACACTTCCTTACAGGTCCAGAACAGAAGACTGTGGTAACTACCACACTTCCAGCATGTTAAGGCATGGATGTAACTCTTGGCTACTAACAGAGAGATACACTCTAACAGATGTCAGAGGTTTCCTGTAAACCAGAATTCCTCCAGTCAGCAGCTTTAGTCAAGAAATGTAACAAAATGAATTTAGGCTTAGACTAAAGAAAGGTCAGTTCTCAAATTCTTCCAAGCTTAGCATTTATTGAAGAGACAAAACAGAAAAACATTTAGAAAGAAGGGGGCTTCTGGGTTAACACTTCTTATACTCTGTACTTCACAAAAAAATACTTAACACTCAATCAAGAAATTTTACAGCTCTACAAATGTCCTAATCAGTAGCTTCAAAAAAACCTTAAAGCATGAAGTACTTTATTACTTTTCAAGAATAATCACAAGGAATTTTTTGTACTGATCAGAACAATATTTAAGACCCCACATAGGTTCAATAGCCATGCAAGCTACAATTTCCCAAACTTCCATTCAAAACTCAGCTCTAAAAACACTGGTCAAGTTTTGCCATCCACTAGAAAGAAATGCCCCCAATGGATAAAACTGCAACAGAAAGCACAAAAAGTAGTTCAGCTGCAGATCCCTGTAGAAACAAGAATGTCATGAGCATTAAAGACACTGAAAACATAATGAGGACTCAAGCACCACAGGAAACAATACAGCATTGGGAACCTTGAGTAGATCAATTTCTACTATGGAATTTATTAAATCATGCTGAATTTTACTATTGCCCACAAGCTTTCCCTGTGAGCTTGTGGCTCAAACACTAACAGAAAATCTTAGTGAAAGAAAAAGTGAAAGAAAAAGAGGACTTGGACGTGAGGATCACTTGGCAGAGTTCAGGACTCTAGGCTGCAGATAAGCCAAGATAGCTTGGCAGAGTTTAGGGCTTTAGGCTGGAAATAAGCCAGCACTGTAGGTGTCAACACTGGATCCCTTTAAACAAATCCTCTGGGCGGCACCTTCCTTAAGCACAGGGTGAGCTCCCAAATCATGACTGAACGTAACCTTCTCACACGGCTTATACGTGCAGAAGATTAGAGTCCAAACTGTGACCAAAAGCATGAGACTATTGTACGAAGTGCTAACTTGCTCACTTCTGCTGCTTATAGATAAGGCAGGAGGAGAACGCTGGCTCGGCACGGTTAAACTTCCCCGCTGATAGGAGAGAAACGATCTGCCATCTGCGTACCTCACTCTATAGAAACAATAACCTTTGCAGGGCTTGTATAGCGTTTTGGGACATTGCTGAGAAGATGCGACAGCAAACGAACTGTAACTGATGAAATTATTTCCTCAGCAGAGGATACGAGCCCCTGATAAGGGGTGTCAGAGCTGAGAACATGGCAGCACCTCCTTCGGGAGCAGCGAGGGGCTGAGCCTGCCCCCGGGTCCCCTCGCCGCACACACTGAGCACGTCCCGAGGCCGGCGGCGCGGGAGGACAAGGACGAGCGGCCGGCGCTGCCTCACGGAGCTCCGCGGCGACACCGCTCAATGTCACCGCGGCGGGGCGGGGGGCCCGCGGCCCTCGGGAGGCGGAGGCAGGACGGCGGGGCCAGGGGCAGAACGAGGGGGCCGGGGGCGATGAGTGGGTTTGCCGAGGGACCGGCTGCGGGGGTGGCGGAGTGCCGGCGGCTCTTACCAAAGGATTGGAGGTTCTGGATCGAGGACATGCGACTCTGCGGCGAGAGGCTGGAGCTGCGGGGAAGCGAGTCCGCTCGGGTCACGTCTCCGGCTCCGCAGTGCCACGCGGGGGCGGGGAGCGGCAGGGAGCGAGGGAGGGGTAACAAAAGCGGAGGGACGCGGGGAGCGAGCCCGAACCGGAGGGCGAGAGCGAAAGGAAGGAGTAAGAAAAAAAGGAAGCGCAAAGGGAAATAAAACGTGGAGGGAGGGACGGACCCCCGCCCCTCGGCCGCACCGCCCCTCAGCACCGCCAACGGGCGCCGCCCGCCGCTCTCCGCACAAAATGGCGTCCCGCACGTGACGGCCCCGCAGCCGCCCGGTGCGCGGAATCACGGAGACGGTTCGTTCGGAAAAGACCTCTGAGGTCACCGAGTGCACCCCGTGACCGAGCATCAGCATGGCAGCCAGACCGTGTCATTGACTGCCACATCCGGACGGTGATTCCACTACCTCCCCGGGTAGCCCATTCCAATGTATAATCACTATTTCTATGAAGAAATTCCTTCTGATGTCCAGCCTGAACCTCCCCTGCTGCAGGCTGAGGCTATATCCTCTTGTCCTGTAGCTAGTTCCCTGGGAAAAGAGACTGTGCCCTGCCTGGCTACACCTCCTTTCAGGCAGCTGCAGAGGGCAATAAGGTCACCCGAGCCTTCTTTTCCCAGGCTAAACACTCCCAGCTCCCTCAGCTGCTCCTCATATGATTTGTGTGCAAAACCTTTCACCAGCTTCATTGCCCTTCTCTGGACCTGCTCCAGCACCCCAATGTCCTTTCTCGTAACAATGTTCTTCTCCTCAGTGGATCCCCAACAGCACTGCTGGCATGCTGCTGGAGCCCCGTGTTCTCCATGCTGCTGGCCCTCAGGGACCCCTATGTCCCAGTAAGGGTGACCCCCATGGAGACCCTTCCATCCATGGAGGCCCTTCCATACTCACATCCCTTTGGCTTGGGTACTTTTCCAGCTGATCTGACATTGAGAGAGTGCTTCCCCCTTCCTCATTAAAATATGTTGGAAACCCCGCTCCCTCAGGCCCCCTCACTGGACAAAATGCTGCTTTAAATGCTGAATGTGGTGAGGGGGGCAGTCAGCACCCCACAAACCGCCCGTGTCTCTACTTTGGGTACGACTTGGAGACACAAGAAGTTCCAGCTTAGCAATACATTGAGGGAGGCAGAGCACTGGAACAGGCTGCCTAGGGTATGGAGTCTCCACCTCTGGAGACATCCCAAACCCACATGGACATGGTTCTTATGTCACCTGCTTGAAGTCAGAATGCCTTGGCAGGGGAGTTGGACCAGGTGATCTCGAGAATCCAGTCCAACCTATCCTGTGATTCTGAGAACTGTACACCCTTTCAGGTGGGTGCAGCTGCTGTTCCCCAGTCCCTAGGGGCCACCATGGATGGCTGGCATGTGGCCTCACAGGACTCTTGTGTGACAGTCACTCACTGTCCATCCCTGTTTTGGGAGGATATCAGCAGTGTAGGGGCTGCAATGGGAAAAGTCTGCCTTTAAAATGGTGTGCAGATGTTACAAAGCTTGCAGATCCTTGTGAGGTGATTAATGGCTTTGCAGATGTACAATAAGCTAATTCCACTGACAGAAGTGGCAGAACCTGTATTTCTCTTTTTTTCCCCCCAGTTTTGGCTTTTATGCTAAACTTCAGTCCTCTTATGTCAATGGGATATTTCTTTTCTGTGATCCAAGGTCTGGATCAGCAGTGTAGTAGTTTTATGAATGCTAGTGTGCAATGAGTTTCTAGTCCTGGCACTTTGCAAGGAAGCTTTTCTTTCTCCCATGGGGAAAGCAAGCCCACTGCCACATGGCACAAAACCTCTGCTTGCCTTTTGCTACCATCATTGATTAAACCTTTCACAGCCCTATGGGCTGTAGAGGGGACTTGCTTAACTCATTCCCAAGCAGCTGCAAAAGGCACTATTGGGGCAGTAATGGGAGGATTGGGCAAGAGCTTGATGCCACAGTTTGGACGATATCTGTGGATTAAGGATGCAGAGCTAAACACTGAGAAACCTTCTGGGAAGGTTGAGGAGGCTCAGGACACCGATCCTCAGGAACATGACCCCAGGATATCAATAGAACCTTTCTCAGAAAACTTCTATTACTACTAATGTGAAGGAATTTTGGCTCTGATATATTTTTGTTAATCCCGTGTCTCTCTGCAAGATTTTGTTGAATCTTTTGCTCTCCCATCATCCTCCCATGAAACTTTTTCCTGGTGGCAAAGCAGGTCCATCATCCTTTTTTTTCTCCCAGACACTTTTTTGTTACCTTGGCTGTGCCAGTACTGGTGTCAGTGGGGCACTGGGATGAACCAGATCAGCAAACTGATTTGAGTTAAAAAATAAAACTCAAATGTTAAAGCCTCAGATCTGCTCCACTTGCATAATCTTGCAACAGTTGTGCTAAGAGAACTGAGAAGAACAAGGCTGGCCATGGATGAGAAGAACAGCAGATCTTCAGACACAAACCCCCAAGTCTGAGCCTGCAGGTTTATACACCAGTCATTGTGTCAGTTCTTCTGCTTACTCTGAATCTTCATGCATTTAAAATAGTTTTACACTTCTAATTCTCACTGCACAGTTAATCCAGTCCTATGGGCTCACTGAGCGTCTGTGGAATTCATCCTACAGTTTACAGACAAATGAGATTGGGTGTCTGGGAAGCAACAAAGCTCCTTTTATAAGCCAAGAAGAGATGTGACTTTGTTATCCTTAAATTGAAACAACAATGAATAGTTCTGGCAACTGTAGAGGGAATGGAAACAACCCCCAACTGCACAGCTTGGCCTGCACTGTGCAGCAATTAAAATAAAGGTGGTGGCCAACACCATCATTGTTCTCTTGGCAGTCTTCCACAATGTCCATGTGAATTGGCGGGGTCTCTGTGGGGCTGTGTCAGTGCAAAGAACTCTCCCTTTGCTGTCCTCCTCACAGGGAGCTGCTGGTCTCGATGTCACATCCATCACTGAGGTCTGACACAAATCCTGTCTGTGCCAGCACATTGCACCAAACTTTGGTATCTGAGCACAGAGGCAGGTGGCATCCTGCTGGAGATGTGCTGCTCCTGCTATTGCCCCTCAGCAGGAGAGTTGTCCTGAGGTCCTTTGACCTGACTGAGTCCTTCCCATTGCTCTTGAGCAGTCTTGTGGCAATAGACTGTGAAAGTCCTGGTTGTGGGGGGCTTCCAGTCACGCCAGACTGAAGAAAGGGGACAAAGCAGACATGGACCTGCAGCAAGCAAAAGAGGTAGAAGCAATTAAAATAGGTTTAAAACTTAAGTAAAGATAAGAGGTGTTGCTTAACTGTTAAATTTCACATTTTGAAAACTGTTAAATTTCAGATCGTCCTAGAGCTGAGGCTGGAGTTAATCTCATTCACTAATATTAGACATCAGGGTTTAAGCAGTATTTTAGGAATGAGACTCTTGTCTTTCCATGACTAATGTATAACCTGCCAACTACAGTGCCAGAAAAGAACTTCATCTCTAATTAACTTGATCACGGCTTCAAGCTATTTAAATGTAATAGTTGCAAGACTTGGTTATGAATAGCAATTAGAGATCCCCTTGCTTGCCTTTTACTGTATTTCAGTTCATCTGTCAAGCTGTATGTGAATCATTACAGGTTATTTATGACTGGATAAGCCTCAGGGATTAAAACCAGGGGCTTACTGACATACAGAGGATAAATATGACATACTAAAGCCATAAAGTACACTTTAGTAAAAAATGTCACTCTAGTGCAGAACCTTACCTTCACTGGGTATTCTCAGAAACACTTGAGGTGCTCTTGAGCAGCAATGGCTAACCCAGACCAGTGGAAGAAACTTTGTTTTTCCAGAGGATTGCTGTGTTGGAAAAATAGGCTGGAAATGGCATGAGAAAGCCTTGCATCAGGCAAAAAAGTCAGCCATGCAGTAGGGCTAAACCTGTGCTTTAGTTTAGGACTCTCTATGGCATCTGTCTTTGGTTGTGTGCATGTAAAAGGCCACCCTTGTCTGCACCTGCCCCTCTGTAATAACCAGAATGAACAACATTGTTTTTTACTTTCTACAGATATGGTTTCAATATATAGTGCTATTTTTTTCAGGTGCAGCACTCCAATATTTTGAGTTTTATACCTTCGGAGCTTTTACAAAGCCAAAATTGAATTTAATTAGGGCTCGCTCTGGTAGGCAGATCTCCTGTACCTGGCCCTGCAGCCTGCCTTACCAGAAATGTCAGACTTGCATGCTGACCTGTCCTCTGCAATGGCCTGGAAACCCAATTACTGCTTGAAGCACATGGTGTTCAAAGAGCAGTTTGAGTTGCCTGACAAAGTGACTGTGCAGGAAACGTGCAAATGGCATGAAATGGCATGTAGTAGCACCAATTTCCATCCTGCATGCCAGCAGTGCAACTGCTCTATGCACAAATGCTGCTCCACTCCAGCGCCAGAAGCCAGCATATGCTGGTCTAACGTTGGCATTCTGAAAATAATGTCAAAGTCCTGAGAGATATGCAAAAATATTTCCAACCTTGATTCTTCTTCTTGAACTTTAATCTTCCCTGCTCTCACTACACGACTCTACCTACAATATCCCGCTCCATTTGGAATCTGCACATCCCAAACCTCTGTGCAGAAGGCTGCCCGGTAGCTTTCTATCAGGGAAGAAGAATAGCAAAAGTGCCAGAAGCAATCCTCCCTCTTCCATCAACAGAATAGTTTTGAAAGTGGCTGTAACCATGCCAAGCTTGACTTGTATTTTTCCATCCAAGCTCCAACTCTGGAGCTCTACAGTGAGCTAAGGAAGGGCTTGTGGCTGAAGTCCTGAGCTGCAGCCTGTGCTTGAGCTGCCCAGCTGCTAACAAGTTGTCCCATTAAGCATACCTAGGCTAACTGGAAATTGTGCTGATGATAAGCACCTGGATATCCAGCCTGGCTCAAGAGAGCTGGAGTTACGTGAGATACACGTTTTCATTTGAAACGTGGGGGGTTCATTCCCTGCTCAATAATGATTGCAAAGAAGATGATAAGTTTGGCATTAACCACTAGATGGTCCTCTTTCTCAAATTAGAAAAAAAGTAGCTCCAAAATAAAGCCAGTCCTGGCTTTTCTCTGAACCTGAATGTTAGTAGAGAACAGTTTCTTTGTAAAGGTAAATGTTATTAGATATTATTCATGTAGTTGACTGAACTGACACAGTTTTCTGAATAGGTTTGAATACAACTTTTCAT